TGATTATGAGGAAACGTATTCTCCTACAATGGATGCAATTACGTTTAGATATCCAATCAGCCTAATAGTTTCTAAAAATTTATAGATGCATCTTTTGAATGTTGTTACAGTTTATTTATACGGATCACTTGATAGTGATATTTATATGAAAATTCCTGATGGATTTAATATGCCTGAAGCACTAAATTCAAAACCTAAAGATATATGTTTGATTAAGTTACAAATATCATTATATGGGTTGAAGCAATTTGGACATATGTGATATAATCGTTTAAGTGAATATTTGTCAAAAGAAGGATATGTGAATAATCTCATATGCCCATGTGTTTAAATTAAGAGAACAACATCTAGTTTTGTCATAATCGCTGTCTATGTCGATGATTTGAACATCATTGGAATTCATAAAGAAATTCAAGAAGTTGTGATATACTTAAAAGATGAATTTGAAATTAAAGAACTTGAGAAAATGAAATATTGTCTTAGTTTACAGATTGAGCACCTTCAAAGTGGAATACTTGTGCATCTATCAAATTATATTAAAAAGGTCTTAAAATGCTTTAATATGAATAAAGTAAACCTTTTAAATACTCCAATGATAATTAGATCACTAAATGTTGAAAAGGACATTTCGTCCTTGCAAAGGTAATAAAGAAGTCATCGGTCCTAAAGTATCATATTTAAGTGCAATAGGAGCTCTTATGCATCTTGTTAATTGTACCTGACTAGATATAACTTTTGCTACTAATCTATTAGCAAGATTTAGCTCATCTCCTACACGAAGACATTGAAACAGAATTAAGCATATATTCTGTTATCTTCAAGGAACATTTGATTTGGAATTATTTTATCAGTAAGGATCCAACAGTATTATTTGAAGACAATGCAGCATATGTCACTCAAATAAAGGAAGGTTACGTCAAAAGCAACGGAACGAAATACATACCCCCGAAATTCTTCTCATACTCCCAAGAGCTAGAAAAAATAAGGATATTGATATTCAATACATTGGATCAAGTGACAATATAACAAATATTTTCACAAAGGCACTTCCCACTACAACATGCATAAAGTATATACACAGTATCGGGATGCGTCATCTGCGAGATTTATAAGGAATGCCTATACATGTCAACTTGAGGGGGAGTTTATGTAGCTGTACTCGTTTTTCCTTATTATAGTTTTATCTCACTGAATTTTCTTGATAAGGTTTTTAACGTGGCAGCATAAACACATATAGATAAATGATATACTCTTTTTCCCTTTGCTATGTTTTTATCCCACTAGGTTTTTCCTAGCTAGGTTTTTAATCATACATCATGAATAGTGGACATCTAAGAGAGAGTGTTATGAATAATAGTTGTCTACCTCAGTCAAAATTATTGTTCATGTCAGAATCATACTCTGTAAATAGTAAGTTATTTGTAAATAGTAACCGTGAATAGTACTAAATTTTTTTCTATAAATAGAACTCTAAGACTCTTCATTTTATATACTTTCACAATATTAATGAAACTCTCTCTCTAAAGTTTATCTTTTTAGTTCTGCATTTTCTTAATTTTCATAACAATATATATAAATATAGATGTCTCCAGAAATCATGAAGACATGCTTTGTGTCCTAATTTCGTCATTTGGGAGATCATCAATAAATAAAAAGACAAAGCAAAAGCGATGAAACAGATAAGTGGGGATTCTCTAAAACAAACATGAAGTGATGGGTTATTTGTTTTGTTTTGGAAAAAAAAAATGGTAATCTTGACAAATACATTTTGGAAGTGTATGGGTTAAAATTTTTACCTTTTATTTTTTATTATAATATTTTTAATCAAATAATTACTAATAAAATAGTATTTATTAAGAATAAGAGATAAATATTTAGACTCATACACTTTCACGAGTAAATTCTCTATTTTTTCAAAAAGAGGAAAAGGCTTGAGTGGATTGCCTAACTGTTAGCACTTGGTGCACTTCTGAGAAGGAGAATCACTTGTATTATACACTAATTCTTTGCAATTCCTCAAAGGGGAATATGATGAGAGATAATTATTTATGAATTGAACTATTAAAAAGAAAAGTTGTCAAAAACACAAGTTCTACCCCCATAAACCGCCACTTTCCACACTAGCCATAACTGTAGTGACACTATCCAATATTGCTTGTTGACAACTCCAAGAAAGCCACACCAAAAAAAAAAAAAAGATTGTGAAGCTGTGATTTGGAGGTCATTAGGATTTGCTTAATATACAAATTATATATTTGGTCTGACTAGCTAATGCAAGCCATCAAATGGTTTTGTTAAGCGAAAGTTGGCTTGGCGGCCTCTTTTTTTTTTTTAAATAAATAAATTAATTGAAAAGTAAGATGATTATTGATTAGTGGACAATTAAAGGGTTTGAGTTGGAGAAAGGAGTAGATGAGCATGAGTTAGTGGATCTACTGATGCAACATAAAAAGTAGGAAAACTCCAATAATCAAAAGTCATGCACAACCAAAAAGCAATTTGGAAGTCTTCTTGTTGTATTGACACTAATATCCTTTTATCACCTCCACTCCAGAATTCTCAAGAGAAAACACATTTTCCCAAAGCAAAACTATGACAAATTAATCCACAAGTCAATAAAATGACCTTTCTTTCAATCCTGTAGAAATAGTATAGTTACTTGAGTTATTTTTCACTTTATCTTCCCTGGCTCATGAGCATGACCAATTTTCTCTACAACACTCGGTTCAAAAATAATTTGTCAGATACATTTCTGCACGAGAAATTTAACTCTAAAATTTAGGTAAAGGGCAAGATGGTCGTTTAATCAACCAACAAGTTCGAGTTTTTTTTTGGAGCTTTTCTTGCAACTTTTGATGGTGAAAAAAAAAAAAAAAGGTGACTTAGCTTAAATAATAAACTGATGGCTTATTAAGTCCTGCTACAGATTACTACTATACTAACTTATTACTTACTTCCTCAATCATATTCATCATCTATAAAAGGGCCTACAAGCCAAAGAGTAATTTCTCCACTTAGCTGCGTTTGAGAGCCCATTGGTATATACTAATACTATATATACCATACCAGAAACAAGGACCAACCTATCAGATTCTTGGTTCTTGAATCTGATAAGGTATGGAATCAGATTTCTGGGAAGAACCCTTTAATGGGCCTTTCTAAGACAGCAAATTGGAGAATGGATGGCCAAGTCCTCCTCCAGATTTCAACAGTTTGTCTAAGTCTTTCTTTCTCTCGGCCATTTGGGTCTCAGCTAATTGTGATGACAGATTAATGAAGAAGAAGAAGAAGAAGAAGAAGAATGATGAAGCAGAGAGGCTTTTTGAAAGAAGGCTTTAGCAAACCGGCAAGTCACAAAACGGCAAATGGACTCTGTCACGTACCGAGTCCCTTTTCGGCTATTTTCAATATCATCCCATCTTTTGTTATGTTTTGTTTTGATGTCTTAGCTCAGTTGTTTTAATGTAATAATAAAAGTTTTTGTCTGTGAGCAAAACTCGTTTGCTTAGGGAAGAAGAAGCTCTTTTCATGCTCAAATCTGTTTTTCCCGTTTCTGGGAAATTGTCTTGGCTGCCTGCATTTAATTAACAAACTGTCAAACTTCTCTCTCTCTCCGGGAGAACACGTGCTTGCACGTGTTATGCTCAGGCACACCTGTTTCGTCAATCTAAAGCATGTTATATCAGATTTTAGAGAGTATGTTATATGTTGCAGAAAGCGTTAGAAGCAATCTAAAGTACGCACTGGTGTAGAAGAAATATTACCGATAGAGTTTAAATTTTTAACGGTTTGTTTTATGAGTGTCCATAATTATTCTTGAAAGGAAGAAGAGAAGAATTAATGGTCCGTTTAATTCATGTGTTTAAATTAGTAATTTTGATTGACATATAACATACTCTTTAAAATCTAACATTATCATAGACGACACAAGTGTCTTGCCGTCTTTAAAATGGGAGAGCACTTGGTGAGGTTACACATGTCAACACTTTATTTTATCAAATAAAATAATAAATTGCTGAAACAAAAGCTAGTTTTGGCCGGATTTGATGGTTAGTTAAAACAACCACCGAGATCAAACGACACATCTTTCCTTGACAAAACATATGCTTACGCATAAGGTTACAATTCGTGTTAGTGGGTTGTGTTCGTGTCAGTCCGTTTATTAATTGTGTCAGAAAACATCAACTAAAACACGACATGTTTATTAAACGTGTCAAAAGTATCAATCCAAACACGACTCATTTATTAATCGTGTTAATCATGTCAACTTGTATAACCCGTTTAAATTAATAAATCGAATAAATAACTAATATAATAATGACTTATTTAACACGGTCAAGACAAGTTTAACATGTTTATTGGTCAATTTATCTTTTCTTTTAAGAAAAATAAACAAATTTTACCTACAAATATTAAAATTCAATTAGTTGTATTTAATATGTCATATAAATTTTCATGTTATATCACATATCATTAGATTGTAAATGACACATATAATTAATCGTGTCACTTCGTGTTAGGAGGTCAACCCTAACCCAACCCTTTTATTAATCGTGTTAATTGTGTCAACCCGATTATGACCCAAATCCATTTATAGTAAATCCAAATCCACTAACTTTGTAGTTGTTTTGAGTCAAGTCACGTCATCGTGTCGCTACATGAATTGCTAGTCTTACTCACGCACAAATTTTATCACATCGGAAAAAGTAAGTCTCAAAGTATTATTATATCTCATTGAGAAGATCTAATGTCAATCATGGTTCATACTATGATTTGAATCATGGTTCATGATTCGTTATCGTGTTTTCTCTCACAAAAAATATACGTATATCGAAAATAATTCTAATCTTATAATTCTAATCCATGAACCAAACGTCTATTCATGTCGATTTTGCGTGGGAAGCTGTACACCCTACGTTTGGTATCCATGTCAACAAACGACATTAATCCCAGTTTCTTTTTAGTTGCGTCCCAGGAACTTGAATGCAAGACTCAGTTCATTGAAAGCAACTCATGCATCCACTAAACACCAACTGAGCTAAAACGACACTAATCCCAATTAAAAGCTCGCGATATACACATCATCCGAATAATCAAATAATTGAAATTTACATCAAGACGTGTGGTTTAATTAGTATAGGAATTGGTTCACTTTTCCTAAGAACCCCACTTGGCCTTTAATAAAGAAGCATATAACAATTCGTTCCAAGTATCCGGGACTCCAGGCAAGCACCAATGGCTACAATCTTGAGATGTCACAGCAGCCATTTGTTCTTCTTCTGATTTATATATCATTCTGTAAATTGATGGGTGACCATCTTTCCTGTAATCTGTAAGCCTGCTTATGTTGAGATATATAACTGGGGTCTTCATTTCTCTGAGCACATTATCAAAAGCTCTCATCTTTGAAGTGTACTTTCCTAAGTAAGTCTTGTTAAAAATTGGCTCTGTTTCCTTGTGGCATTGTCCTCCTGAGTTCCATTGCCCTCCTCTGTCCAACCAAAAAAAAAAAAAAAAAGGTCAACATTAGCCCCCCAAAAGCAACCGTAACCCGCCAATAGATCTTTATACGATATAGATTACTCGAGTGGACGGGAAATGAGAGGAAAAATGGCTCATTACTTGAAATGGGTAACTGAATATCCTCTGAAGAAGACTTTAGTCCGAGCTGTGTCAATGTTCTTATTAACCCATTTGGCCCAAGTTTTAAGTGCCCTCTTGTATGCTTCTAGCACCTTCAATCTTGGATACACATGGTTGCCTTCTTGGTAGTAATCTTCTCTGTCAATGAAAAAAATATCAATAGAAGAATGTGAATTTATTTTCTGATTGGTAGGTGATTTAACCAAAGCAAAACTAATCATTTCCAGTATAAATTTATATTGCGTCGCTATGAACCACCAATGTTTGATGTTCAGAAACACGCGGTAGTTGTAATAGCCTACCGTAGAATGACCCTAAAAGTACTAAAATGTGTAAATAGATCAAGGAAGAACATAAACTCAAATGGGAGATCAAACGGCGGCACACACACCCTCTTGATGTTTTCTCATGTGTCCACCAGTGTCCTGTATTGAAGACTATGATATCGGCATCATGGTACATTGAAGTAGTCCGATCCATCAAATCTATTCTCAGCGTCTCGAACGATCCGTTCTTCCTAGTGAATGATGATTCTCTAACAAGAAATGGAGAACCAACAAAATCCACTGTGCAATTGTAGTCCTACAAGATAAAGAAGATTCATGAACATGGAAACAGCGTACAAGTCTCACTAGTCGAAAAATCCACGATCCTTCTAGCGCAACTAAATTTGAGATGTCTAAATTTAAGAACTTTTTAACGCAATTACAAAAACAGATATAGTGGAGACTTGCCTCAAATCTGAATGCATAAAAACCTTTCTTCTTGAATGCAGTCTTTCCAGAGATTTCATAAACTCTCTTCTTGTTTTTGACGCTATGGCGGAGGATACACACCAAGGATTCCCACATGTTTCTGTTCAATGAATCCCCCACAAACACCAACTTCTTTCCTCTCAGTCTCTCCAGAAAATCCGTCGCATTAAGACTTAAGTAAAAAAAATAAAAATAAAAACCAGCATAAACAAACGTATAAGATAAGAAAATAATCATATTTCCAACTTCAAACACGCAATAATAATCCCATACGCTACACACCCCCTACCAAAAAGTCTAGAAGAACTAAAAAGATAAAGTTTATTTGTTATGCAAAAACAGACGCAATCAAAACCACTTAGATTAGTTCCCATGGAATATTTTAAGATATGGGGCAAAATCAAGTGGAGCCAATTGGTAAATTTTCTTAGTAGGAAAAAGTAGCTGTTTTTGTTGGACATCATCTTAGCCGATTCACTAAAATTACTTTAAATACTCGCAATACCAAATACATAATGATGAATACATCTGAAAACAAAATATAGATCTTACCTTGGGATATCACACCCATATGGCTGCCATCTCCACTTTACATATCCATCATCCGGCCTCCGGTTTAGGTAACAATCAAAATCCCTATCAATGTAAGGACAAGAACCACCAGGGTAATAAGGCTTCGAATCATCTCTAACCCAATTACCATCAAATATATTACAGTCCTCATAAGAATCATTCTGAACTCTCCCAAATTCATTAGTAGAAACTTTGGCAATACTTAAACTGTTTTCCTCGGTCCAATTTCCTCCACGACTAGCCTCCATAATAGCCTTTTCTTCTTGCTTATCAAACACATTGCCCAAACTACTATTCTTTTGCCCGCCATTGTTATCCTCATTTCCATAGTCACTCAAAGATGTGGAGGCAATAGTTTTCTCAATAACCGCACCTTCTTTGCCAGAAAAACTTGCATTCCCATCAAGGGTTTTCTCTTCAACTACAGAGCTTCCATTTTTAACCTCCTGGGTGAAATTCGACAACTGGGTATTCACCAAACCCGGAACTTTCCCATCAACATTTACATTTTCATTAGAAGAAGTGTGAGAGTTATTCACAGTAACACTCTGGAAACCTTGCACAGAAGGACCCTTTAGAAAGTGGCTAAGCAAAAGCACAGCGAGAGCAAGGACAGAAACTACAACTCCCAAACCGAACCCAGAAAGTACCTTCGTTTTCAGCCACAGAAACTGCTCTGGAAAAGCCAGTTTCTTCTTCAAGCCCATGGCTGAAAAAAATGCATTAACATTAAAATAAAATAAAAAATAAAAATAAAAATCTCTTTGGAGAGAATGTGAGGAGGAGATCTTTGAGATTTGGGAGAGTGTGGGATGAGTATTCAATGAATCATAAAAATGGAGAGTGAAATGTTGTATTCCATTTCTCTGTGTCGCTCTGAGGATGAAAAGGTTGGAAAGAAAACAAGTTTGGTCTTGAGAGTGACGACTGTCGTTGGAAAATTTGCGTGGAGAGAAACTAGGAACTGCCGAGATTATTACCGTCTGCTTGAAAGTACCATTTTGCCCCCCATAACGGAGAAAACAACACATTTCAAATTGTGTGTTTTCTTTCCAAAAAAAAAAAAAAAAAAAGGGTGATTATGACTTTCGTTTTCTACAAGGAAATTGACAAGTAAAACCAATATACGATTTTATGTGAGAATTTTTTATTATAATAAAAAAATTAAATGTGACTTTTTATGAGAATTTTTAACTGTAATAAAACTTGAATTGATAAAATAAACGAGACTTAAAAGTTAACTCCACTTTCGACTGTCAAATAATAACAATAAAAAACAATAAGACGTTTAGTGTGTTAAATACCAAATTTTAACATTTGTATGAAAAAGATATTCTTCAATGTTATATTTTATCCTAATTTCGACAAATGCTATATTAAGTCTCAAATTGGAACCAAATAAAATTTGATATTGATAGCCACTAGTTGATGCGTTCATTTTTTTCTTTCAATCATCAAAATATTTTCATTTACAAATTATATTCTAATATTAAGAGTTTATTTTTACTGATTAACATCGTAATAATTATTACAAAATAAATAAATATGGCATTTGAAATAGCTGTTTGTATTGAAGCACAAAATAAAATAACATATTAAATATATTATTTTAACATTTTTAAGGACAAACATAACATGTTGTTCACATTTATATTAAGATTGTCTGAATATATATTTTTGTTTTCTTTTTTTGAAGTCTAGAGATTGTCTAACTATTACTAGATAAGAAATGTGATGGCCCACGGACTAGTTTAATTCTCTTTTTTCTGTTATTGAAAATGCCTATATCGCTTTTAACTATCCAAGTTGTATTTTTGAAGAAAAGGATCCTTCTAATCAATAAATTTGGTATTTTACTTAGTATAAAGCACTAACAGATGTTTGTAAGAAAATAGAAATAGTGTTCACTTCTGTACATGCTCCAAAAATGTTTGTGTGCTCTTTGTTGTAAAAAAAAAAAAAAAAAAAAAAAAAAAAAAAAAAAAAAAAAAAAAAAACCCCACTCCTACCAGCACCATAATAGTCCTAAATGGATAAATAAAATTGCAATCACATCATATGATAATAAAAAATATATATTAAAATTTAAAGAAAATTAATACATTTATAGTTTTTCTATTTTTTTAACCTTAACGGAAAAATCTATTCTCTTTTTTTTTTGTTTTTTTTTAATCTTTCATATACTTACAAATTTAGAAAAGACGAGGGCAGCTTTGTCAAATCACCAATAAACGGGCTCCTAAATTAACCGTCAAATTACCGACACCAATCGGATCGGAAATTCACTTCCCGCCGACAAAAATCCTATGACACGTGGCACATGAGATCTTAACCAACACTACATCCACGGTGATGTCCCGACAACATGCTCCATGTGCTCCTTTCCCTCCTCGGACCATCACATGGGGACCACTGAATTCTTCTTCCCATCCGATTTTGACACGTCACCATAGATTGCAATGGGCTACAGTTATCATCTCAGCGTGACAGGAGCACGCGGCATGCGCAACACCAGAACATCACTCCTAACTATTTGAAGAAACGGCGTCGTATTGTCTGGCACATTTTCATTTGCTGGCCACCGGCCCACCACGGATTGAAAAGTTCAACAACAAAAAAAAAGACAATGACAGATGTAGAAAGAGAGAGGAATAAATAGCGACCATTTTTGCAGTACAAAAGTCTTCAATATGAAAAGAAATCGTGGAGAATAAATCGTTAATTCAATAAGGTGTTCAAATTTTTTTACTAATAAATTTGGATAATTTTTTGGTATAAATAACAGAAAAAAAATATGTTATGAATAATATATTCTTGTTGGGTACTTAATTAACTATAGAAAAATATTATCTGTACGATAATTCTTACTTACAGGTAACATATTTTTCAATTAATTCGACTCCCAAATAAAAGAACTTTTCATGTTTTATATTCATCATACAAAATAAAAATTTATGGAGAATCTATTGATTTAACCGTTGAATTTTCAGTAAATTCCTTAATATTATTGTATATTTTTTAACTTATTAATTTTGTTGAAATTTATGTTGAAAACACGCCATATTTAGTAGGGAGATTTTGGACCTGTTATTATTTTTATTTTTTATTTTTATTTTTATTTTTTGCTCTGGACCTGTTAAAATTTTTAGCTGGAGAGAGAGAGAGAGAGTAGTAGAGAATGCGTTTGAGAGTAGCGTCATGGTTTTGAGTGGAAGGGGGAACCGGATCTTGATTATTGATAGCAGCATAGCTGGTACACTGTTTTGACAAGCCCAAGGTGTTTGGTAGGCCTGGCCTGCTAAGTTTTGTCTATTTTTGTCTACTTGCTGGTTTTTTTTTTATTTGAATAATTTTAACAAATATCTTTTAAAATAGTATAATTTTTAGGTCTTAATATTAATTTATTGAATTTTATTCATTTAAAGTATATAATTTAACAGATTATTATCAATAATTTAACATATATTATATACAGTGGGTCTCCGTTCGTTTGCGGCGATCATAATTTGACAGATTACTATTTAAAATTTAATAAATTATTATTTATAATTAAATTATTATCAAAAGGATAAATGATCAGAGTAAAATAATAGAACTCTAGAAGAATGTTTAAAATTTTCACTTTTTTTTTTTTTTTTACTGACTTGTTCTTTCGACCTGTTTCAGGTTTATCAAGTACATTTGGCTATCATTCCATATAAAAATCCTTCAGAAAATATAAAAGTGAAAGCTTGCAATTCACTTTTCTATGCACCCTTTGGCCCTACTTGCTTGGTAATGGTCGCAGCTTAGATTTCTCACCATAAAATATGGCCAATTTGGATTGAAAATTAACTCCGTAGAGTGGGTTTAGTTAGAGGGGAAGAGATTGTTTGAGAGAGGCCGAATCTATTGTTTGGTTAGAGGAAAGAGATGAAGAATAACTGAGGTGAAGGAATGCAAATCTTTCTGGCCAAGCAAATTGAATCTTTTCATAAATGCATAACTTTAAATTTGAAAATGTCCCATATATCTTAGTTCAACGCGTCCATCAAATTTTAAAAATGATCCATTTCACCCCCATAAACTACATAAAATCACTAGAAACACCTCTTCAATTAATGTAATCTCATAATGCTCCACGTACAATTGATCCTGTGGCAAGTAAAATTGGAGAGCAAGTTAGGACAAAATAAATAGTTCAGGTGTTAAGTTGACTTACAACTTCATTTAAGGGCTTTTTACGAAATTATTGGTGTCATATTATTATTTTGTTAGTGTTATAAATGGATGGCGTACTCTAGACGATTTTGTGTAGTTAAAGGAGTGAAATGAAGAACATGTTAAATTATGACACATTGTTCAAAGGGAATCTATGAAATTAATCTTAAAATTTATTCAACAAATTGTACAAATAGACAATATAGTTATTAGACAAATAATTAACATCAATCATTTAATTTTTCCCTCTCTTATCAAAGAATATGAAAGATTATGCTGATTTTCTCCATTTTTTACATTTTATATCCCTCTAACTCTCCATATCATTTCTACGCTTCGTCCCTCCAATCATAACGTTTAAAAATAGGTCCAAATTAGTAAAGGAATATTTGTCTGTTTTCTTTTAATTCCTTTTTTCTTTTTTCTTTTTTTTTTTAGAGACATAACGTTCCAACCATTGGCCAAAATTAGAGCGACATAAAGGATCACAACAGAATTTGATGAAATGGAAATACAGATAAAAATAGTTCACAATTCACAGATTAGAATACATTCTCTTGCAATGGCTCAGCTTCTGAAATTTGACTATTGAGTGTTCCAATTATTGATCAATGTTAACATTACTTTAACGTTGCCAAATACCAGGACTGGAATTATCCAATAATAATAATAAAACTTTTTTATTTCATAAAGGCCTCATTTGATAATTGATAGGAAGGAAAAATAGAAAAGGAAAACAAAAAAGGATAAGGTAAGATGGTTAAAAATAATAGATGAATTTGAAGACAGTCCATTTAAGCAAAACTAGGACTTTCTTTATTATTATTATTCCATTCCTTTGGCTAAAAAGAATATGGTTAAATCTGAGAATCAAGGTGCTCTTCTAAAGTTCAATTCATAGTTTTCAAAAAAAAAATAAAAAAATAAAAATAAAAATAAAAACAGAGAAAAAATTGCTTCACTATTAACTATAACATTTCCATGTAGTCACAAGACGTGAGGCTAAGAGATTTTGCAAACTGACATTTTTCTTACAATCAAATTGATCAGCAGCAAGCCAACTATAACAACCTGAGTAACTACATACAAATTTCTAACATCTCCAAAATTTCTCTAAAATGACGCTAAATAGACTCAATGAAATACCCCACAAAGGAAAAAAGGCAGATTATACATCGTTTTCCTTTGCCATCTTTCTTTTTTTACAGATGAAACGCAGGCTCGACAAAGATATCAGCAACAATCACTTTCAAGCTTCCGCGATTTCATGGTTTCACAAATGGAGACGTGGTATGCAAGAAAAATGAAAACGTTGGTCATCTCGGGCCAGAGAGCTCCATTGCTTCTATGACGAGTGAAGATTCTTCTATAAAATCTGAATACCTTTGAGGCGGGTTTTCACATGATCGGATCCTTGGCGTCTCAACCTTCTGAGATGCCTCCCATTTCTCGGCTAAACCATCGCCTTCTAGCATCTTCAAGACGTCGGACATCTTTGGGCGGTGAGAAGGGTTAAACTGAGTGCATAAGAGGGCAATCTGAACCATCTCCTCCAATTCGACCCTGTCGAAGTTGCCCTTAATATCCTTATCCACCATTAGATTTAACTTTCCCTCTTGATGGAGTTTCTTTACCTACAAATAGTAGTGAGAACAAAATAAGTAATAAAGAAGGTGGATTTCTTGTTGAACAAAGAGATCTTTCTAATGGCATGCCTTAAATAGTACGAGGATCCAATTTCTTAAACGTTTTAATGAGCTTGCATATGCACCGATAAGACAAGAAACATGAAGAGGATGCCAACAGTTCTTAATCTTATTAAGTTCGTGGCAATTAAAAATTAAGATTTAAGGCTCTAAAAGCTAGTGCAATAATCCCGCTCCCCAGCTCCCATGTGGACCACTTCAGACATTCTCAACTTAATAGTTATTTAAAACTTAATTTCATGTTGCTAAACAATAAAGAATGCACTAAGGTAAAAAATCCCTAGCAAAAGAAAAACAGTACCCAATCAAGCATAACGCCTTTCTGTTTTGCTTGTCGTCCGAAATCCAAAGCCTTCTGACCAGTGATTAGCTCGAGAAGCAAGATCCCGAACCCAAAAACATCAGTCTTCTCCGACGACTGACCAGTCGATAGGTACTCGGGAGCTATGTGGCCAACAGTGCCACGCACGGCTGTGGTCACATGAGAATCTCTGTGATCCAAAAGCTTTGCCAACCCAAAATCTCCCACAACCGCCTCAAAGTCTTCATCTAGCAATATATTAGCTGCCTTGACATCGCGGTGGATAATCTTGGGGTCACAACTCTCATGTAAATAAACTAACCCCCTTGCTGTGCCTAAAGCTATTCTCTTCCGCCTTGTCCAGTCTAGAGCTGGCCTACCATTGATGTGATCTGACGAGAAAACCAACAAGCAAAAAATTATTTCTTACAAGCCATAAAAAATATTGTCAATTTGGCTCCTTAGTCCTTACACTAGGAGTTCATAGAACATAAGTGGAGAGAGAACAAGAAGCAAACCTCTTAACCGGGAGGCAACACTTCCATTAGGCATATAAGGGTACACAAGGAGGCGCTCGTTTTCGGTTGAGCAGAACCCACAAAGCCTGAGAAGATTCCGATGAACGGCCAAACTTATCATCTCAACTTCTGTCTGAAATTGGATTTCTCCACCAGCTGCGTTATAGTCCTTAAGCCTTTTAACTGCTACTAGAGTCCTGTCGTTCAGGCTTCCCTTATATACAATGCCAAAGCCACCTCTCCCCAAAATATTCTTCGGGTTGAAGTGGTCAGTCGCAGCCCGAAGCTCCTTAAATGTATACCTTCTCAAATGGCCTAAGGAAACTTCTGGGTCATATTGATCTGCCACAAAAGACTCTTAACAGTTCAGAATGCAAATTCATCTTAGCAAGTTATGAAAATATAAAGAAATCTTTAAAAGTATAGAAATGACATTCATGAAAAATAAATAAGAGAAACGGACTATAAACCTGCTAACAACAACATGTTAAATAACGATCAATATCAATTTTAGAAATAAAGTGGGAAAACAAACAAGTAAACTAACCGTTGACATCAAAGAAAATCTGCTGGTTATGTCTATATCGCCACCAAATAAGTAGTGCCATTAGTAGTATAATGCTAAAAGTGGCACCAAAACTTGCACCAGCTATAATAGCCACTCGGTGACGTTTTTCCCCGGAGCCTGATTGAGCTAAGAAAACCACAAATCCATAAAAGTAAAATCATCAAAGTAGCCTGGATACTAACCTACAAAACAATGAAAAAACACCATGAAATACGAACCTTTTAAAGCATCGGGAGGGAAGGACAGTGGCTCCGGAAAGCCAGCAGAACAGTTACCTCCAGGCTTTGGACCACAGATTAATGGGTTGCCTTGAATCCTGCAAGTCAAATGAATTTATGAATTAATAAACAAATAAAACATGTTGAAGAAATTAATCACTAACAAGTCAAAGAGAACAGCGCACTTGAAAGTTCTTGCAGATATCTTCGGCACTGAACCACTCAGATTGTTGAAAGAAAGGTCCCTGGATAGATGCACAACATGAGATCATACACACATGTTTGATAATTTTAACATAAATACAATATTTGTCTCTGAAGAAGTTCAGATACATACACAAGAGTTAGACCTACAACAGTGGACAGCGATTCGGGGCACGGTCCAGTAAGGCTGTTGTTATTCAATCGCCTGACTTGCTCAAAACAGACAAATGAAAGAATTAGAACTAAAATATTTTCAAGTTCACAATGCTTTAATAGCATTCACTATTTACATGAAGTTTTTGGATCTTACAAATAATTCAAGTTCTTCAGGTTCCCCAAAGAATCAGGTATTTCACCCGTGAGTGCATTGTTGGAGAGATCAAGTGTCTGAAGCTTCTCCAGTTTCCCAATTGTAGCGGGAATCGGACCCGAAATGGCATTGTTTTGAAGCAAACTACATTACAAGAACAATCATCTTTTAACCCCAATTGATTTTGTAACATCTGATGAATACTTGCACATACAGCAAAAACCTAAAAAAGATAAAAACTTACACAGATTGCAAGTTAGTGAGATTTCCAATCCAAGGAGATAACGTACCAGACAAGCTCTGACTGGGCAGTCCCCTAATTAGAAAAGAACCATCTTACTTAGAAATGAGTCTTAAACTGAAAAGCCAAGCCATTTTTCACAACCAAATACTTCAGGCTTTTTTTTTTTTTTTTTTTTGGGTCCAATCAAATGATCCAAGGAATATAAGCAAAGTTGAAAATGGAATAAAATAACTTACAAAGCAGACACGTAGCCATCTGAAGTGCAAGTTACCATCCTCCAACTACAAGGATCCACAGAATTAACGTCCCAGTTCTCCAATACATTGTGCGGATCATTAAGAGCAGTCTTAATCGCCACCAAAGCTACAACTGCTCATTCCCACATTAAAACAAAAAACAAAAAACAAAAACAAAAATGAGAAAGAGAAAGAAAAAGAAAAATACTACCACTTCTATAGCCTAAGTTCCACTGCACAAAAATAAAAGATTAAGAACCAAATCAAGAGTACATAAGAAAACAATTATATATAAGCTCATAACCATTGGGGAAAAAAAAAATTGTAACTTTGCTCCAAAGACAAGAACATAAGAAAGGAAAAAAAAATTGCCCAATATTTATCCTGCAATTCTCAGAAGGGGAAAAAAGGAAAAGAATAAAGTGGAAGGATCCAAATAAAACTAACCTTCATAGTTTATACCAGTTGGAGAAAGAGTTGCAGAAGAGGCCTGAAGCAATGCCAGAAAAACCAGTAGTGCACCCACTAAATTCCACAAAAAGGAACCACTTTTTCCCATCCTCTTTTCTCTCTTCACCAACATTATTTTCTTCGTTCAACCAGTACCCATTGAGGAAAACCACCATAACCAGCAACACCAGCAAGCAAACAGGCCATTCTCAGTTCTCACACATTGCCTTATCCCAAAAAAAAAGTTATAATAATAAATAAAAGGAACCCGAAAGTCTCCAAAAACAGCAAGCTCTTCTCTTTGCTTTTGTTTTCCTTTGGAAAAACCAAGTTGTTCAGCTCGGAAACGGAGAATTGGAATCAAACCGTCAAATGGGCACCATGGGAGCTCAGACAAGGATTTTCTCGAGAAACAAGCAAGCATTAAGCCCAAAATTCTGAGATCCTAGAGATCTGAGAATAACCAAACTCATTTTCTATACGTTTTGGGCGATCCCCACAAATTCCATGTGGGCTGAGTTGTTTTTCATTTCTTTTTCTTTTCTTTTCTTTTACCGCTCTGCTCTGTTTTTTTTCGTCCCCTGTGATTTCCACTTCACCATTATCCTCCTTTTCTTACTTTCAGAGAGACAAAACAAAAGCATACATACAGAAAAGAGGAAAAAAATAGTGAAGAAGAAGAAGATGAAAAAGATAATTATAAAATAAATCAGTGAAAGAAACACAAACACACAAAGGCCAAAACAAAATGCCAAAACTTGAGACACAGATACAGATACAACCAGACCGCCCAAGAAAAAAAAAAGGAAAACTTTTTCACAGAAAAGAAAAAAAGCCCAAGTGAAAAAAGAACAATAAAATTCGGTGATTGGACAGAAGGGATGGAGTGGATGCGTGGGATTGAACAGAGGCTAATATCATCAAAGAGAAAAATAAAAGAAAGAAAGAACAATGGGATGTCTCTTTATGAAAAAACAAAATTAAAATCCTGCTGAGAAAAAAAAAACAAAATTAAAAAAAATTAAAGAAAAAGAAAATGCAGGTTTTTAAAGTTTTTTTGGCAGGTCACGTGCTGGGATTGTCTTGGCGTTTGTTCGCTTTTGGCTTGGCATTTCTATTTTATTTTATTATTTCTTCTCTTCGTTTTAACACACAAAAAATATAAAATGATAACATTCTGTTAAAGTTTTTTTTTTTGCAGGAGTTGGTCCATCCCGCTAAAATGCGCCTAGCTTTTTGAACCCACGGGCCACGCCCTCTCCTTTCACCTTTTTTTAATTTCTAATTCTTTTAATTATTATTTAGGAAATGAAAAGAAAGATATATTATTTTATAAATATCTCTTAATTATTAATTTTGTGTTAATTTATTCTGATATTGATACAAAAATAATAATTTAAGGAGTGACTTAAAATAATAATTTGGGTTATTTATAAAATTATAAATAGTGTCATGTTTTTTTTTTTATGAATTCTATAAATGTGGGGTATTATTTTTATACCATGTTACATAATTTAAGAGGTGAAATTAATCATTTTCAAAATTTGAGAGATATTAAAATAGAGTATAAAATTCAGGACATTTATGAAAATAATCCTATATTTTATCTTTGGTTACTAATCATGCTTTGAATTATCTAAAACAAATTCAACGGACAACGTATTTCAATTTCAACACCCAAAAAAAGTAATAGAAGAAGAGTATTGCATCTGACTCTTTGTTGATAATGAAGTTTTTTTTTTTTTTTTTTTTTTGCTTCAATTGTTGTAAATGAAGTTAGTGATTAGGCCCGCAAACATTATCACTAGGATTATAACAGGACCATAAAAGTAGTAAAAAGGTAACGAAAAATGTTTATTTAAAGTATTGGATTGCTTATATAAGACTATACCTTTAATTTTCATATAGCATTTATAGGTCCTTTCACTACACTAATGGTCATGGTCAATCGGTTACAACTTACAAGTTGATAGTCAAACTTGCTACTTGCTACTTAGAAAAAAAAATAAAATAAAATTTAAACATTCGATTAAATTATATATTAGGTTGCTAAACGACTTATTTGGACATTAGAGGTAGTAATTAAGAAATAAAAATTTGTTAATGCAAAAAGTTAATTGAAATTGGATTAGATGGGTGGATGGGATAGATAGACCAATTTCCATCAACTTTTGATATGATTTATCCGATGGGTCATGTATTGTAGGGCTAAGATGCTACGTTACCACAGCAACTGGGCATGTGAGTTAAGCAGTACCTCTCCTTTCTTTTTTTTCTTGTAATTCTTTTATTTAATAATATTTTATCTTATTATATTCCAATATTTATAAGTAGTACTGTTTCTTTTTTAGCTCAAAAGACCAAAATGCACCTGTTGTAGAGTTTCGTGCGAGACGCTTTGTCCTATTGTATTCTTAGTTTTCCGTTTATTTTACTGATTTAAATTTAGAATTTAAATTTTATTATAGTAAAAAATTTTCAGATATAGTCACATTTAAATTTTTGTTACAGTAAAAAATTCTCACATAAAATCACATCTCAATTTGAATTAAAAACTCAAATCAACGAACTAAACGGGCCCTTATTCTTTTTTATCGTTAAGCGCTAATGAATGGTAAAATTCCTAAAATGCCTATGGTTTATTCCTACAAATAGTTTTTCTTTTCTCATTATGTTCAAATTATAATTTAAAAAAAATATACTCTCCACAAATACAGAAGAAATTTGTTACTATAGTTTTTTTAGTTTCCCAAGAAAAAAAGAAAAATACCTAAAAGCGTGAGGGCATAATTGGCAAGCTACATTAGGACGTTTAATTATATTAACATTTAACGTTACAAACAATGAGGAGGGTAATTCTTTATTATTTCTTTAGTAAATAAAAAAATGTGAATATGGTACCTTGATGGGGTCTAATCCAGAAGTCCAAACCCCAAGAGCATTTTTGTCGCATTGGGAAGACTGAAATATTCCCCTAATCTATTATAATTATACCTCTGTAACTGTTCACTGATGATCTTATGCCCCTCAGATTTTCTTTTGACATAAAAATAACCGAGAATTTCAATAAGCATGCTCTAGATTTCGAAATTATCCAAAGGGTATTTTTGTTGTCTTGGGCAAATTGAAGCCTCCTCGCTCTATGCTATGCAAGTCCCACTTCAGAGAAAAAAACAATAATAAATAAATAAAAAGTAATAATCAATATTTTTTATTTATTTTATTTGGGATGCACTTGCCGTAAGATCCTACAGAGTCACCACAACTAATGGCAACGTGTTTAGTTGGTGTATTCGTATTATAATTAAAATCATAGGTCGTGATTCGTTACAGTATTTTTTATCACAAAAAATACACATAAATTAAAAATAATGCTGAATCATGATTCTGAATTTATAAACTAAACGTCCACGATTTAACAATGATATATCTTGCACGATGAGTTACTAATTGCATGATCACACCTTCTCTGTAAATGGGGTCGTTTAATTTAAATCGTAAAATTAAGACTAATAGTGTCGTTTAATTTAAATCGTATAGTTAAGAGTAATGGTCCTCATCAAGGGTGTTCTTATAGTAAAATCCCCAAATCCATGTCACACCAGGGGGAATAAATGAGATAGTGACAATGGTAAACCAGGTCAATCCAGGGAGAATAAATGAGTTAGCGGCAATGGTAAACATGAAGTTTATTTGAGAACAGTTTTTTACAAGCAGGGTCCAAGAGGGAGAAGCGTGTTGCATCACTTCGATAAGGGCAATATGCTAGAATGACTATCCAACAAAGTAAAATTAGTAAAATTACTTTCTTCTATTTTTTATGAAGAAAGATATTTACTCATTCTTTATAAAAAAATGTCATTTTGTAAATAAAAATTTTTGAAAAGTTATTTTACTAATAAAACTTTTTAAAAGAATTATTTTTACAAAGGCCTCCTTGGATAAGGCGGGGTATATTCTTAAATAATTTGTAACGGTGAGAGCCTAAACAACTTATCGTGAGTGGTGACTGATAATTATATTGAAGTCGTTTGAGTTTTTGTGAGAGATTCTACAATAAGAGTGTCCCTCTATAGTTTGTAAAGGTATGATCATTAGACATAAATTTGAATCAAAGTTGCTTCAACTTGGTCCTTAAAAAAGAAAAAAAAAAAAAGACAAACAAATAAACTTCAGTCCACTAATTAAACTGTGAAAATTTTGAGTTAAAATAAATTGTGAATATTTCCTGATGGGGTGTATTTATTGACACCCACTTTTTTATTTTTTAAATACACATTCTTAAACCACCTCATTCTACTTGTTACAACACCCTCTTAAAATTTCAAAAAAAAAATCCCTCCAACTAAATCACCCCAATTGTATATTTGTATACACACATTCTTAGCCCACCTCCACTCTATTTGTTAAACCCCTTAAATATAAAAAACGCATTTTCATTTGATATTGAATGTGGGTTTCGGTTTGTGTTGCCGAGAGAAATCCATGAGAAAATTCTGTAATGGATGAAACTTAAACATGAAGGCCCGCTCACTTCACCGATTCGAGTTTATAATTTGAGTTTTGTTATAGTTCTCAGAAACAGACACATCCAACTTTTTTATTACAGTAAAAAACTATCACATAAAATCACATCTCAACTCGAATTACAAATTCGAATCAGTGAACTAAATGGACTCGAAGTTCATAAGCAGTAAACGTTAATTGCGCCAATGTGTGAGCAACCATATTACTATGATGGGAAATACATTATATAAACCAGCACCAACTCAGCTCATTAAGATTTCAATGTCCATAATGAATGTATATTCCGCAGCAAAACCTTGATTGTTACTTACAGCACGGACTGCATTCATAGAATCGTTCTCAACTAAGGATGTTTGAATACCACTATCTTCACTATCTTCAAAGGGGAGAAGGAACAAAAAAAAAAAAAAGTTGTCTCCCATTTTGATCACATCCATTACAACAAAAAACGTATATTGTTAAGAATGTTAAAGTCCATTTCTAGTTGAGATCATAAGCGAATGAGACATGTCTTTGTTATCATGTCCACGTTTTAGTGTTTGAGAAGTCATGGTTGAATGTTTGTGCGCACGAGAAAAGTGAGGAAAGAAAGTGAACGAAGTCATTGTTTGTTGCCCAACAGCAGAAGAATGGTGACACTGACGCCTTAACCTTAAGCCACCACAATGACTTCTTAACGCTCAATACAAACAAATACTACTAATATTGCATCAATTTAGTGTATATACATATATTTAATTACAGTGTAGAACAATACTCATGTCCAATCTCATGAGATTAAAGGTGCGTTTAGAGTAAGGATCTGTGTCATAATTTGTGACTTGTTACAGTATTTTTTCTCACAAAAAATACACATAAACTAAAAATAATTCTGAATCTATAAGCTAAATGTCCTCTAAGACTCCGCTACTCATATAAGATGGATCTCACTAAATACTTAAGTGAGATTTATCATTTTATAAACGATGAGATTTTATTCGTCTAGAGATAAATATCATTTTTGTATAGCGTGTAATCTAATACACAATTAACAATGATAAATAACAATACTTGACCACACTAATTACTTACTAGAGAGGCAGTAGAACAGCATATTTGACATGTGCGTGGTCTATTATTTCATCAACTAAAAACAGAGTAGGCCCAACAAACACCAAACCCCAAT